ATTTCCTTTTCCTTGACCACCGGCTACGACAATGCCTTGTTTTGCACCTCCTTCCCATTTCATTACACGATTATTTCCAAAATCAGACACATAAACTGAATAATCTCGATCGACAAATACGTAGTGGGGATAGTAGAGTTGATCGAGATGATTTCCTTCTCCATTACCACCTGCAACTACTGTTCCTTTAGTATCACCAATTTTATATTGTCGCACTTCATATTTTCCAATGTCAACGACATAGAGAGAACCATTGTCGTCCATTGTCAAACCTCCGCAAGAGATATTTGAAATAATTGTTTCTCCACGAGTACCATTTCGACGAGGCCAACGAACTACTCTGTTATTCCCATAATCGCTGATGATGAGACTATCGCTCTCTTTGTCGATAATCACATCTACTGGGTTGTTTAACTGATGAGCTCCATTTCCACCAGCAGCTACTTTTCCATTCGTTGCAACAGATTTCCATTCCACAATACGGTGATTCCAATAATCAGCGACATAAATCGTTTGATCATCGTCGACGTACAAACCATGTGGCCAATAGAGTTGATTGGTTCCACTGCCTTCTCCATTTCCTCCAGCAACAGTGATTCCATTCTGTGCCCATTTTGCATTCGGATGAATATCAATGGAACTTGCACGCATTGGTACTGAAAAGAAACAAAAGTATGTAGTAGAAATAAACATCGATTTCATTGAAATGAGTCCTTCTCATTTGTTTTAAACAGTATTGAATTGCTCTCAATTACAAAAGCTTTTTACTTATGAACTTGTTTAGAATCTGGCTTTTCTCAATGTTGAAAACAAATATTGTTGATGTTTTCAAATATTGTTGATGTTTTCAAATATTTTGTGTAAGAATCGTTAGTTTTACTACAACTCACTAAGATTTAACTGGTAATGTGAAAAAATTGCGATTAACTTGAATTTTATCGTAAATGAAATTTTCTTTTATATCGATTTTTTTCAACATCTTCACTGATTTGGTTAGTTCAAGTTTGAAATATATTTAGATTTTGCATGTCATCAATTTAAAAATCATTTAATTTTTTTTGTTTGGATTTTACAATAAAATGAGTTATAATAGAATTTGAACGTAAGGAAAAACAATTTTGTTATCAGTTGATAGGAAACGGTGTATGATTTATGTTTGTCACACATTTCTGAGTGGAATAAGACAAAATAAATTTGCAACTTTTGTATGAATTCGTTAAAAACATCTTGCTAGATAATAACGATAGTTAATTATACTTAACTACCATGCATAAGACGTTTTTGACTGATTCATATATAAAAATTATAAATTTTTTATGTAAGTATTTTTCTTTCTTATTCCATTTACGAATGTGTGACAAATATAAATCATACACCATTCGAAAGTATTTTATGCGATTAATTTTGCATCATATTTATTATTGAGTAATTTATTCCTGAATCTCAAACAAACAAGTAGCTTGTAGCAAGGCTAATCGAAGTTGCTAAATAAGATAAGTTTAGATAAAAAAATACGTAAGTTCAAATTTTAGTAGATAAGAAGAACTCAAAAACAAATCTTTCCCAAGTTTAAGAATATTTGAAGAATCTGTCATGTTCATTCCTCTACATTATAGCATAAACAATAGTCTATATACGAATCAATCAAATCTTTTATTTTGAATTCATTTCTAATGTATTACAAAATTTCAACTTAATAGGGTATGGGACACGGTTTTTTAAACAATAGCAGTGTCGATCACGGATCGATTTCGATCTTTCTACAATTAAATATTTTCGCTTCTTTACAAGACAATACGAATCTCCTATGAAAATCTTGATCTAAAATGTTTGCAAGCTTATGTTTTGTAGGTTATTCAATAGGTGTAAATTTTTGGGGATTCTCATAAAAAAGCAACGATCGTAAAAGATTTCATCATGTTTTTAGCTATTCTCAATAGCAATAAGTGTGAAGATTTCTTCTTTAAATTGATATTGTATCGCATTCCGAACTGGTTAAATCTTAGAATAAAGCTTTTTTTGTTTGTCTAGAATTTTCTAAAGGTTGAGATTGATATTGATTTGAGCTTTAGACTAGAAACGATACTTCTATGATTATATCTTGTATGGTCAGTTACGTAACCGATGAAGTTAATAAAAAATATCATGAAGTTTTATGAACTCCCTAAAAATAATTTAAATAATTTAAATAATTTCATTCTTTTTAATTTATCTATGAAGAATCTAGCTATAATTGAGATCTTGATTAAATTTAATACTATTTAATCAATTTTCATTTTTATTACATGTAATGTCATGTATTTTTAATATGTTTAATGTCTCAGTGCAATTGGAAGAAAGTACATTTTAGTATTATTTCTTTTCTTCCATCGACAAAAAACAAATACATGTAAAACGGTATGAGACCTTTAATTATGTGTCAAACAACTCGAAGATGAGAGTCAGGAACAAAACAATACTTTCTGCTTTTTAAATCAAAGAGATTGTGAGACATAAAATTCGAGTAGATACCCTAGAGAAAGTACTGAGTTTAGGGTACCCATGTACTGAGAAAGCTCTAGCAGGGTGCCCAGTAGGGGTACTTTGAAAATTCTCAGTAATTTTACTGATGTATGTACTGTTTGGGGTACCCGTAAAAGTACATTCACTGAATAAGTACCTGCATGGATACACAAGTCCGTAACTTTACTGAGAAAATCTCGACAGGGTATCCTAAATTTTTCGCGTTCTGTGTGGCGACTATTCATTCACCGTTTTCTTTTTTATGTACGGCTCTATATAAACAACTCGATAAATCATAAGAAAATAATCAATTTTCATACTAGTTTTTTCTAAATTATTTCTTGACTATTTCTTAGTCGAGGAAATGCCGAGCTTGGTCGTAAATTAAGATCAGACTATCCTGAAGTGGTCTACGACCAACTCAAGTTGAGTCGGATCCCGACATTTTTTCTGCTAAGTTTTTGGAATTGAAAAAATTAAATTGAATAAAGTAAAAAAAAATCTAGTAAATTATCTCAAGAAAAAGAAAAAATTTTAAAAAGTCAAAGATCAGGTTCGATCCTGAACATACTGAAAATTTGGTAACAGGGTACTTAGAAATACTATACAATGGTGCCCAATTCAGTACTTGATCAGTACCTTTAGGTACCCAATTACTGTGCATTTTCCAGCAGGGTACTTGCCAAAGTACCACTTAGGTACCTGTAAGTACCTGCAAGTACTTTGGTACCCAAAAGTTCCTGTGACATACTGGTATCAGGGTACTTTTTTGGGTACCCTTAACTCAGTATATTCTCTAGGGTAATTTTGTTTTCTACTTATAGATGATGATATAGAGCTATATGAAATGCTTATTAATATTATTGATTTATTTCAATTAAATCAAACTTCTCAAATATTTATTATACACATGGAAATGATCAGTCTGAGCGGCTACCTTGCTTCGGTTTTTTTTTGCACATTAACTTCAGTCTTATTTTAGAACAAGTACAGCCAACATTTGCTCTATATTTGATATTATATAAAATCCTATTCATTATTTTTCATTTTTCTATACTGTAGTATGGAAATTTCCATGTTTATTTCTTGTTTTTCTATTTTGGCCATATAGAGAATCCAATTTTTACCTCTCATTTTTCTATTTAATAATGTAGAAAGCTATATTTGTTAATTCTTATTTTCTATATTGATAATATAAATAATGATTAGTTTTAATTTTAATTTTTCTATGTTGGTAATATAGATAACAGTTGGTTTTATTTCTTATTTTTCTATATTAATAATATAAGAATCTAAATTTTCATTTCTTGTTTTTCTAAATTGGTAGTTTAGAAAATCTTATTTATTATTTTTCATTTTTTAGATTGATAATATAGAAAATCTCAATTTTTATTTTTGATTTTTCTATAGCAATAATAGAGAAAATCTTAATTGTCATTTTGTATTCTTCTATATTGATAATATACAAAAACAAAAAATACAATTTTCTGTGTCAACAATATACAAAAAATACTGAATAAAACAAACTGTTATCTTTATTACCAATGTAGAAAAATAAGATTCTCCGTAAAAAAATAACAAACGAAAATCAGCATTTTCTATATTATTACTATAGACAAATAGGACAAAAATAACTGTTTCTATTTCATCAATATAGAAAAATAAAAAATAAATAGAATTTACTATTTTGTCACCACAGAAAAATAAGAAATAGAAGTAACCGTTTTGTATACTATTAGTATAGAAAAAGAATAAAAAAAATTAGGTACACTGCTTGATCCTGTTTTTCAGGTGCTATTCTTCATAGAAAAGCTGATGGAGTCAACTATTCTCAAACAAGTGAAAGAACAGAACGCACCATACACGAACAGATAATAACAGGCAAGATCTACATTATGTACCATGTATGTTTCTTTGTTTTAGATCTTGTATGATCTGTTAACGTCTGACAAGAAGCATTGAGTCTGTCCTTATAAGTGTTTTAATCTTTGAATCTTGTACGATTAACTAATATTACTGGGGTGTGGGTGTGGGTGTGGGGTGTGGATGTGGGTGTGAGTGTGGGTGTGGATGTGGGTTTGGGTGTGGGTGTGGGTGTGGGTGTGGGATGTGGATGTGGGTGTGGGTGGGGTGTGTGAGTGTGGTGTGGGTGTGGATGTGAGTATGGATGTGGATTCAGTGTTCGCATCCGACGCCCACTTACACCCTACACCTACCCACATCGCACGCCCACACCCACACCCACACCCACACCCTAGTTTGCGGACTCTGAACGCGTACTAACCTGTGATAATGTCGAACTTTTGCACTCGATTGTTTCCCGAATCGCTAACATAGAGGTTGCCGTATTTATCAAACGACAAACCCGCTGGCTTGTTTAACTGATCCGCCTTATCGCCCCGATCATTTCCACCTACAACAACACTTCCCTGTATTGCATCTTTGGACCAACACATTACTCGGTGATTCCAACAGTCCGCTACATAAACATTACCCGATTGACTGACAACAACTCCAGAAGGGGATGACAATTGCGAAAGACTATTTCCATAGTCTTGACCTCCTGCTACGATGACTCCTTCCTTTGCATTCTCCGTCCATTTCATTACACGATGATTTTGGCTGTCTGCGACGTACACAGAACGATTGTCATCGACGCATAGGTACCTAGGGTCATTGAACTGGTCCAGGCGATCGCCTTGCCTATTATTTCCCGCTACCACTGTTTCAGTTGTTTGTCCCGTTTGCCATCGCTTAACACTGTTCTTTTCCGTATCAGAAAAATAAAGAACTCCATGGTTATCCATGGACAACCCGAAGCAAGAAATATTAGAGATTATTGTTTCTCCATTAGCGCCGTCTTTACAGGGGTATCGTAAAATTCGTTTGTTGCCACAATCGCAGATTATGAGGCTACCTGTTGCTTTCTCAACAATAACATCTCGTGGACGCTTCAATTGGTTCATATGATTTCCTTGTGCATGTTCACCTACAACTAGCTCGCCACTGGTGGCATCATGCCTCCATGCAACAATACGGTCATTCGAATAATCAGCGACATAGACTGTTTGATTGTCATCCACAAAAATGCCGCACGGGAGAGACAATTGGTTTAGTGCTTTGCCAGATTTGTTACCTCCAGCCACAGT